TGGTTACCAACTGAGATGGTTACCAACTGAGATGGTTACCAACTGAGTTGGTTATTATGCCGATGAAATCTGTTCATTGGTTAAATAGGTGCCACTAGCAGAAACTTCATGTCTTAATTTGTATGAAAGACTTGTGGCGTTGATATAGTCTTTATGCTTTAGTGGAGGTTAATAGTTTAGACTTCGTCATACTAGTGAAAGAAAACAAGAAATAGTAAACAAAGATACTGTACATAAAAATTTTATATCGTTGTTTGGTTTAATATTATTTGTGTTTAGTATGCCTAACGCAACATCAATAGATAATTGTGAAATAGAATTTATTTTATCAACAAAGAACAAGAAAATTTTACTTTGTAATGGATACAGATATGTTTTAAATCAAACAACAAAAAATAAAAAATATTGGCGATGTGAAGATAGTGATAATTGTGGAGCCTATGTACATACAACACTAAAAGACATTTACTTAAAACACAACAACATTCAACATAACCATCTTGCTGATCCTGATGAAGTTATAATTAATAAATTAATATCAAAAATCCGTTATCGAGTTATGAATGAACATTTATCTGCTAGCTTCGTTTATGAATTCGAGGTTGCACGTGCCAAGCTCACAGAAAGTCAATTGGCTATTATGCCAGCATTCAAAAAAATAAGTAATTCCACTATTTAGCATTTTTTTATAATCTACATCTGCCGTTTAAAACAGCAGTTTCAAAATTTATTTTGAGTCACCTAATTAAGACCCAATAGAAAAAATACTTGGTTTCTGCAAAACTTTAATAGTGTAGCATATTATTTTTCAAGTTTTATAAATATAAATTTTTTGTTTTCATAGAATCTATGTTATATATGGCACGTGCGAGTACCATTCCACCAATACCAAAAACATTTGAATTTGATATACCGATGTTGTATCAACTAAATGCAAATTCAGAAAAATATTTATTCGCTGATTGTGACAGTAGAGATTTTGATCGTGTTTTAATGTACTCCTCCAATCGGCAACTTCAGATTTTATTCGATTCGGAAATTATTTTTTGTGATGGTACATTTGCCTCTTCACCACCACAATTCAAACAAATTTATACTATACATGCTATTTATGAAGAGGAATGTAAATTATTTAAAACTATATTTTACTAATTGTTGAAATTAATCTATTTTCTTTAGCGTTTCCTTGTGTTTTTGCATTATGTACTCAGAAAAACAATGAAACATATGACGTAATCATAACAAAATTGAAATCAGCTGCTAAACAAATGAAAAAAACTTTTACACCATCTTTGATTATGTCTGATTATGAAAGTGGATTTATGGAAGTGGTGAAAAAAGTTGTAAATTTAGAGTAATATAGATGCTGACTTTATCTTTGATTTTTCATTTAGTATTCAAATGATAACACCCGACACGTCGGGTGTTATTTTCATACGTCTCAAGCTATATATAGGAAAGTACAAGAAATAGGTTTACAAGTACCGTATAATTCAACAGTTTGGGTGAGAAATATTGTGAGATCTCTTATGGCCTTGCCATTATTGTATCGACACTTGGTAAATGATCAATTTGATCATATAGTTAATCTTGTTGGTGAACGTTTAAAACAAGCAAAGAAGCTCAAACGGACAACTAGTGAATCAGATCAATGTGACGCAGCTCTTGAAGAAATTAGATTATGTGAAATTTTACTGATTTTATTGAATTATTTCGAACGATATTGGATTAATACAATTACTCCGGCAATGTTTTGTGTTCAAGGCCTTCAATATCGTACAAATAATTTAGCAGAAGGTATGAGTTCTCTTTCGTAAAGCTACTAGTGTAATTTCTATAATGTACCGGTTTAACTTTCAACCGACTTGATAATAAAAGAATAATTTAATTTTTTTTAACAGGCTTTCACAATCGATTTTCTCGTAGATTAAATGAAATTCATGCCAATGTTTGGAAAGTAATAGCTACATTTATTGATGAAGAATATCATGCATATCAAAAAATGCTGTTAATACGTACAGGTGCTCACAAGAAAGCTAATGCTACAGCTCTACAAATTGCTTATCAAGAGCGTATAAATAAATTATATGTTCTGTATGAAAAAAAAAAAATTAATGCTACTGAATTATTAGAAGGTTTAACTATTGTGTTGCAAGAAATATTAAAAACTCGAAAAAGAAAAAAAATTGATTTATATATATTTAGTTTCATTATTTATCAATGTAGAAACAAATTCATTGTTTACTTATGCAAAAAATAAATTGATTTTTGATTTATCTATACATATTTTTAGATTATTATTAGAATATTACTGGTATTTTTGTTGAAGTTCAGATATATTCGTTGTAAAACTTAAAAATGCCTTTTCATCAATTATTCTATTCCGAAGAAACAAAACATTGGAGTAAGTCACATAAGATTTCATAGTTGACAAAAAAGTCTTGTTTTTTAGATGGTTTGTTGCAATACATTAAGAGCAATGTACCAGCATATGTTAATGTTGTATATCCTTCTGTAATGAAATCTATTGACATCAAACTAAAAGAATTTGTTGAAACTGTCGTTTTACAAGAAGGAGAAAAAATTCAATTTTGTAAAGCTCACGACGTTGAAGGTACTCCATCATCGTATGGTAAAGTCTATTATGCTGAACGTCGAAATGATGGTATTCATCTGATAACAACAATTAAGAAAGGACAAAAGGCCGGTACAAGTCTTTGATACTGTTTAAATGGTATAGAACATTACAATTTTTCTTTTTTTCATAGCTGCTGGTGTATTAACTGTTGAAGTTCTGTCAGTGGAGCAGGAGATTTTCAAAATAACGGAAGCTTGTCTGGAACAGTTAAAGACTGAAGGAATTCATTTTCCTTATATTTTACTCTGGCACAAATTACGAAACTTGTATGATACTCCACGAAAGCGTGTAGGTCATGTTGTTAAATTGGTGAAAGAGCACGTTTTCGTGTTGAAAAACCGTCTGGTTGAAAAAGATTATGATTTCAGGACATCATTGTAAGAACAATTAATTCTTAAACTCAATGGTTAGAGAAATGTATTGTGATATAATGTCTTGTTTTTATAGAGATAAAGAAAATATTACAGCCGAAGCTGATAAACAAAATGAAGATGATATGCAAAACATAACAACAACTTCTGAACTTATATCATGTGATGAGCAATCACCAAGCAAAACTATTTTGACGAGTTCTGTAGTGGATAAGTACGTTTCCTAAACTTTGCAAAACTTACTTACGAAGGATTTGATTCTTTTATCTAATAAACACCAGCGTTCTTAATGGAAAAGTTTCTCGTATTTTCTAGTGATGATAATGATTTTGAACAATCGATAGTTTCATCAGATGCTATGGCAAAGATTCAAAATATCGAATTATCTTCTCAATCTACAAATCAAAAGTATTTTTACAACGTAAATCTATTGCAAAAACTATCGTATTTTTATTTTACACGTATATTTAGAAAAATCCAAAAACAAATTGGTGGTGAAATTAAAATTCGAAATCGTTTAATTTCACAATTAGCAATATGGAATGGTTTCGCACCGAGTAATACAAAAAGACGTGCAAGTACGACAAAATTTACAACTACAATCGGACATAAACGTACAAAAAAAAACTAAATATGATTTTTGTTTCGAATTGATTGTTAGATTTTTTTTCTTTAGTTTTCTTCTTGTTTCACAGATTAGATAAATATATGAATATATGAAATGAACACATACGCATATGAGTCTAAATAGAACTCCATTCCTATATTCACATTAACTTTTAATAAATACGAAGCGCGTAATATTCATTCATTTTTGGAAGGTAAACGATTTGGTAGCCATCTGAGTTGGTAACCAAATGACTTGGTAACCATCTCAGGTGGTAAGCAACTGACTTGGTAACCATCTCAGTTGGTAACCATCTCAGTTGGCAACCATCTCAGCTGGTAACCATCTCAGTTGGCAACCATCTCAGCTGGTAACCATCTCAGTTGGTAACCATCTCAGTTGGTAACCATCTCAGTTGGTAACCATCTCAGTTGGTAACCATCTGACTTGGTAACCATCTGACTCGGTATCATGAGCTAATTAACTAAAATATAATTGTTGTTTATAAGTCCAATTAACTGTAACTAATATTCGTTTTCGGTGATAAATTCATTCGGCGATAATGGAATCGGCGAACTTCATTTTCGGCGAACTCTGTTTTCGGCGAAATTTCTTTCGGCGAAATTCATCTTCGGCGAAAATTTTTTTCGGCGAAACTGGAATATACCGTGATACATACATTAAATGTATGTTTGCCTAACCATTGCCAGCTTTGTCCATTGTACGAGCCAAGAGAATACGGAGGGTATCCGTGGTCGCATGTGCGCGAAATTGTGCAGCTGCTTGCTTCGACGAGCCAAGTATGCAAGATAGCTACTTTATTTTCTCTTTTCAAAAGAACAAAAAAAATTACTTTTTCTTTTTCACAATGTCAATGTTTCTTTTCGATTGTGCAATATGTGGATGATTTGGTGGCAGAGCTTTTCGATCAATTTCATGCGCTTTTTCAAGAAATGAAAGTGCTTTCGAGTACTCGCCCATGTTATCATACATCAAACCGATGTTGTTGTAGGAAGTAGCCAAGTTGGGATGATTCGAAGGGAGCGCTAGTTTCTGGATTTCAAGTGATCGTTCGTACGATGAAAGTGCTTTCGAGTACTCGCCCATGTTATTATACACCATACCGATGTTGTTATAGGATTGAGCTAAGTCGGGATGATTCGAAGGGAGAGCTATTTTTCGGATTTCAAGTGATCGTTCAAGCATTGAAAGTGCTTTCGAGTACTCGCCCATGTTTCCATACACACTGCCGATGTTGCTGTAGCCAGAAGCCAAGTCGGGATGATGCGGATGGAGAGCTATTTTGTGGATTTCAAGTGATCGTTGGTACGATGAAAGTGCTTTCGAGTATTCGCCCATGTTATAATACACTCCACCGATATTGTTGTAGGAAGCAGCCAAGTTGGGATGATTCCGAGGGAGAGCTATTTTTCGGATTTCAAGTGATCGTTCATACGATGAAAGTGCTTTCGAGTACTCGCCCATCTTATCATACACCATACCGATGTTGTTGTAGGAACCAGCCAAGTTGGGATGATTCGAAGGGAGAGCTATTTTCCAGATTTCAAGTGATCGTTCGAACATTGAAAGTGCTTTCGAATACTCGCCCATGTTAATATACACCATACCGATGTTGTTATAGGATTGAGCCAAGTCGGGATGATTCGAAGGGAGAGCTATTTTTCGGATTTCAAGTGATCGTTGGTACGATGAAAGTGCTTTCGAGTACTCGCCCATGTTATCATACACATTACCGATATTCACATAGGAACTAGCCAAGTGGGGATGATTCGGAGGGAGAGCTATTTTCTTGATTTCAAGTGATCGTTCGAACACTGAAAGTGCTTTCGAATACTCGCCCATCTTATCATACACATTACCGATGTTCCCGTAGGAACTAGCCAAGTCGAAATGATTCGGAGGGAGAGCTATTTTTCGGATTTCAAGTGATCGTTGGTACGATGAAAGTGCTTTCGAGTACTCGCCCATGTTTCTATACACATTACCGATGCTGTTGTAGGAAGTAGCCAAGTCGGGGTGATTCGGAGGGAGAGCTATTTTTCGGATTTCAAGTGATCGTTCATACGATGAAAGTGCTTTCGAATACTCGCCCATGTTTTCATATACACTGCCGATGTTGTTGTAGGAGTGAGCCAAGTCGGGATGATTCGGAGAGAGAGCTATTTTTCGGATTTCAAGTGATCGTTGGTACCATGAAAGTGCTTCCGAGTATTCGCCCATGTTATGATACACCGAGCCGATGCTGTTATAGGATTCAGCCAAGTTGGGATGATTCGCAGGGAGAATTTTTTTGTTGATAATGAGTGATTTTTCGAAAAACTTAATGGCTTCATTGTATTGTCCTAGCTTATCTTTCATCACTCCAAGTCCCTGGTAACAATACGCTTTATCGCTTTCATCAGTTGCTTGTTCGAGTAACATTGTGTACACTTGTTCCGCCTTGTCATCCTCACCTAGCTTCCATAACAGATGACCCATTCGTTCCCATCCTGTGCCAGTGATCTCCTCGCGCATACATTGAGTAAGAACATTAAGCTGTTGGTCATCATTGTCACTGGTAAATGCAAGTTTAACTTGCCACAACGTCATTCCACTCTCTTGTATTTCTTTGATTTGCTGAACACGAAAAACTGTGTTCATTGAAAACAGGATTTCATTTTCTGATTTGAAATAACTTAATTGGTGAATGCGAGCAAACGAAGCCGATGAAATCGATCGATTAATAGTCATTTCGAAGAGTACACGGTATGTATTTGCGTCAGTGGACTGAAGCCCTTTCGGAATAAAACGAATGGCTACCTTTCGATCGTCACTTGTTGATAAGAAATTATTGAAAGAAATGAGTCCACCTTGTTTGATTTTATTTTCAAAATCTTCCTTGACCATGGCTTGACCACGATAAACTGTAATTGTTGTTTTTGCATCATGAATTTCATTGGATTGTTTCGAATAAAGTTGCTCGATGTTTTGATGAAGATCTCGAATGAAGATACCCATTTTGAGTAGAGTCTCGACTTGTAGAGTACGCAGTGCTTTGTTAAGCATTTGGTATGTGAAACAATTCCGAGTGTACCACCATACGGGTTCGTTATTTTGGTCCAAATTACCTTGATATTCTCGAGCGAATTCATCGATAATTTTCAACTGTCTGTCATTGCCGGCATATTTTTCGCGAGCATACTCGGCTAAATCGTTGATTGCTTTTTTTTTATCGAAATCGATTGTAAGAATTATTTCTTTGAAAAGCTTTGTGTACATAAATGATGGCTCTATTTGATTTAATGATGATACAACACTAATTACGGTCGAATCTTCATCACATTGTCGAGTCGATTGATGAACAGCGTCACAAAGTGAAGTAATTTCGGTATAAATACCTTTCACCTTGAACCAATCTTTTCTCCATTCTTCATATAAGTGTTGTTTCCGACAGAAGATATAAATTGAATATAGTTGTGTCATGGTATGAATGAGTGGCACAACTGTTTGACATAAAACATCAGAAATAATGAGAAACAACTTTTCATTTTGAAGGTCTGAAATATAATCGATACATTCATCTGTATCACGAAATATTTCAGTGGTATTGATTACTTGCCGTAGTTGTTTGATAGAATTAACATAATCGCTGTTGGATTCATCAATTTTTGCGTCAAGCCAAATCAAAAGAAAATTTTGAACAATATCGTTGGTATTAGCGCGACTATTCCATTTTGGAATGCGATTTGAATCTTTTAATTTCTGATTTAACATAGAGGGCGATGATGGGTGCTTAGTGCTGGAAGAATTTGATACTGTTGATGATGCACCGTAATCCATATTTTTTGATTGATTGTACGTAATGCAAACAAATTATATGTGCGATACGTTGTCAACCTGAAATCACGAATCAAGGCTATTCAATAAAACAAAGCTTCTTTATTTAAACGAAATTTTTTTTTAACAACGGACAACTTTTTCTTTCTCAATTATGAAAATATGTTTTTTATTTGTTGACATTGACACTCATGGACGTTGGTTGCCTAGCTTTAATAGAAAAGGACAGACAATAAATGGCAAAGTATTGTTTCTACTGTTGCCAACTTTCTCTTGTTTAACGATTGCATTGAGTAAACAAATAATGTCTTGTACAAATATAAATTGCAATTTTCTCTTTCAAAGAACGAAACGAATGAGGGTGTGGCTGGGTGTGGATGTGGACGTGGGGTGTGGGTATAGATGTAGGTGCGAGTGGAAACAGCCACATGCACACTCCATATCCGCACCCACATTGACACCCTCACCCACACCTCACCCTCACACCCACACCCAACACCCACACCCCATACCCTCACTCACACTCACGCCCACACCCACACTCACACCCACACCCATACCCACGCCCACACTCACACTCACACCCACGCCCACACCCACGCCGACACCCACACTCACACTCACACCCACGCCCACACCCACGCCCACACCCACACTCACATCCACACCCGTCTGGCCATATATAAAATGAAAAGATAAAAAAAAGCAGCTGACGTGAGTTGGAAGATTCCAACTGACAAGCAACGATAAGTTGGCAAAAACAACATAAAACAGAAGGAGAGAATAGAGAAAATTGTGCATCGCTAACTAGATTTAAAGGCACTTATAAAAAAAAATAACAGAGAAAAAGTTCGAACTTTCGCCTTTCAAGTGTAAGCACGGAGGAGACTCGTATAATTCATTTTTTTCTTCTGCAGAATGCCGTTAAACATGTTGTGTATCACAAGAAACCTCACTGAAACCTCACCGACATGTTTTTTTCATTTGTAATATGATCCACAGGTGTACTTAGCTATAAGTATGTCAAAGATTACCTGGAAAAAAATACAGTGTGAGTTTTTTTTTCATTTTTACCGATAAGCAATACTTGGACAATACAATCTTAAACTACTGAAGGTGC